GTGAAGGGGGGAGGGAGGGGGGGGGGGGGGGGGGGGGCTTGTGCCTTGGATAAAAACTGTTAGGTTTCTATTCATCTCTGTTTTGAACTTTTTTATTTATTTTAAATCATGATTTGCAGAATGCATCATGCATCTTAATTCCTGGTGGATTTGGAGATCGTGGGGTGAGAGGAATGATATTGGCTGCCAAGTATGCTAGAGAGAACAATATTCCTTATCTCGGGATTTGCTTAGGCATGCAGATTGCTGTTATTGAGTTTGCTAGATCTGTAAGTGACTTCACTTTGAACTTACTCTCTTATGTTATCATTTTTCTTGATATGATGTATCCAATGACCATATGTCCCTTCACTGCCAATTGTTTTAGGTTTTGGGTTTGGAAAGGGCGGATAGCAATGAGTTTGATTCAAATACACCTGATCCTGTTGTAATTTTCATGCCTGAGGTATGCATTTACTGTAACCTTATTGATTTGTATTTACAGTTTTATCATAAATATGTTTCATTTGTTTGTACTACATTACCATCTGAAACTAAATGCAGGGTTCAAGGACACATATGGGAAGCACAATGAGACTAGGATCACGAAGGACGCTATTCCAGACCCCTGATTGTATTACTGCAAAACTGTATGTGATTTGTTTATTAGTCTTCAGTTTCATAAGTAAATGGAGCCACCCTGTTAGTGAAGAATAAAGTTAAGATCCATCATTATGCATATAACCTGTGTTATGGATACTGGCTCCATATATGAAATTTCAGTTAGCAGGATTGTATCCATCCAGTTGGCACAAGTCCATATCCCCTCCAGCGTAATAGTGTTATATTAAAGCTGGTTAGAGATGATGGACTGTATGAATGTTTGTATGAACTACCTAAACCTTCCACCATCAGGATAGAAGGAAAAAGAAATCAATAGTATTTTGATGTTTGCGTCTACTTGCATGCCTATTTTAATCATTTGTAATTGCCAGGTATGGTAATACTCAGTATGTAGAGGAACGACACAGACATAGATACGAGGTAAGTTGCAAAGTTAATAACAGAAGTGTAAAAATAACTGTACGAAACAGTCATGATTATTTTGACATTGCATGATGCAGGTAAACCCAGAGGTTATTGAAGTTCTAGAGGAAAAGGGCTTAAAGTTTGTTGGGAAGGATGAAACAGGAAAACGGATGGAGGTCTTGTTTTGTTTCCACTTGGTTTCTTTCTTTTAGTCCCGTGTGTTATAGCCAATCCATATCTCTGATGTGTTCAAGTTTCCACTTGGTTTCTTTCTTTTAGTCCCATGTATCTGTTGTTATAGCCAATCCATATCTGATGTGTTCACGCTTACTTGGTCTGAGTGCTTGTTATGTGCCATTATTTCTGGTCAAGAGAGAGAGAACTAAACTATGTGCTGATTTTGCAAGCTCATTTGTTTTTTCTTGTTCTGCAGATTTTAGAGCTTCCAACGCATCCTTTTTATGTAGGTGTGCAATTTCACCCAGAGTTCAAATCACGGCCTAGAAGGCCCTCTGCTCTATTTTTAGGTATATACCAGTTGTCAGAACACTTGTGTTTATTATTAATTAAAATGTTCTCATTTAGAGGCTTTGAATATAACCAGTAGGCGTAAAGGGTATCCATATTTGGTGTGTGCATATAAAACGGTAAAGGTGCAAAGGCTTTGATTTTGGAGATCATTTATTATTGTGTAACTAATTTCCAAATGTTTGAGTGATGCATCATTGGGTTGTGCAGGTTATAGCTATAGTTATGGCGGGACTCTTTTTCGGCTGTCTAACATAGAATGTTACCTATTTATTAATACATATTTGAAAAAGTGTCCTTTAAGGTTCAGATATTCTGGAATGTTTATAGAAAATGTCCAGAATGTGCTCTCTGTAATTTTCATGTTCATTAAAATAATTTGCAACTTTTTTTTGTCTTAAATGGTGTTTTAGCATTTAAACTATGGTGCTTGCGATGTAGGTTTTATATTGGCAGCAACAGGAAAGTTGGAAGCACATCTCAAGAGTCGTCAAAATGGAGTTCGATCTGGCTTGAAACTTCCAAGTCATGCTCACAAGGCAGATCATATTTTTATTTTAGAATAGGATGAAAAAAAAAAATCTCTTCGTAGCTTATTAAATACGAGTTCCTTAATGGATTTGGATTTGCTCTCTCCGCTGGTTGCAGATAGGCATAGATCGTTGGCAGCACCAGATCTATTTTGATTAATTCAAGTAATACTCCACGAGGTTTCATGCATGTAACCCTATGATTTGTAGATGCAAATATAGTCGGGGCATCAAACAACTGTTTCTACTCCTCTCTGTACTAGAATAGCATATTAATGGTATTGTATCTCATGCTTTTTCTTAATATTTCTTACGGTCCTCAAATTTCATAATTTCAGTGGAATAAAAACCCAACACAATGGGTTTTGTACACATACTGCTGATAGTGTTGGGACTCGTTTGGGGTGGGTAGCTATGTTTTTAACAATATAATTTATTAAGCTATGCATATTTCTATTCGTGATACTACAGTAAAATCAACGTGATAAGTCTAGTGTAAGAAAATGCAGGGATATTGGGAGTAGCCAATGAGGCCTTGGCTAGTGTAAGATCACCTAAAGTGTAACATGCCTTTACCGGGCCTGAGCCATATGACATTGATTTCTGTGCAGGAAGATTAAGGTAATCGACATGAAGATGCATCTTTCTCGCACAGCCTTCATTCTCCTTCTGTTGCCCAAAGGCCAAAGCTAATTCTTTTTCCTTGGTGTGGGATTTGAAATAGGATGGAAGATTAGTTCAGTTTCCATTCATTATTAACAAGACAGCAGTAGTGGGTATGTAGATAGCAGGGAGTGTTGTTGGTTATTGCAACTTGATATTTTATGTTTTAAATAAAAATTTTAGTGTTTTTAGATTTTTTGATGTTAAAAATAAATTCTTAAAAAATAAAAAAGTATTAATATAATATATATTTTCAAGCAAAAAGATATTTGATAAACAAACTCTGACACTAATCAGAATCTTATTGAACAGTTTTTGTCCTTTTATTCTCTTGGAAAAATCCAAAGTTATACATGCTAGTATATCATGAAGCATGGTGGAATAACTTATGCTGTAGATGCCCATTTTTCTGCTGCTCAGGAAGCTGACCAATATATTTATGAGTATTAAAATGTTGCCTTATTCTCAGAACTTATAATTACGTCAATTATTAAACCCAAATCCTCCGGAAGCTTGTTTGCTGGATTCCAAGTTTCCAATTGTTACATAACATTACAGCGGGGACGCTTTTCAATTTTCAACCTGACACTACCATCTCAAAAAGACGAGGGAGACGAGAAGAAGTTTCAACCTTCAATTGTTCTGATTTCACCTGATAAAGAAAATTTAAAAATCTTGCATTTGTGGTTTCCAAGGATTAATTTGGCCTGTTGAACTCAGATAACAGATTACCATCGGAATCTCATGGGTGCATGTCAGGCTAATTCGGAGAGTTTGAGAAATTGACTGCCGGCCCTGAGCGCCGTCTGCACTCAACGATTTATTTTCCCCTGGTGCTTTCGAATTTCGGAGTCACAGGAACCTCTTGATCTATTTTTTTTTTCTTTCCAAAATTGAAGGTACCCACGATGATACAAGTATAAATTGCAATATTATTCAAACTCAATGATAGTTTCCGGTATTTACACACTGCCGCAAAGCCTCTTTTACAAAACGAAAAATACATGAAACTGCAAAAAGCAGCTAACATCAAAGGTAGCCAAAAAAGAACAAATTATTTAGAACACAGTGAATGCTCGAGATCATCAACTGGTGCCTTTTTTTGGAGTCTCATGATACTGTAGATACGAGATCTGCCTTTGAAGCCTCATTTGCTGACGGAACTTAGCTATGAACTCCTCAGCTCTCATGTCAATCCCTTCTTCCTCTGCTGGGATCTTTTCCTCAAAGTCACAGGTCTCGTACTCTTCTTCATCCTCTCCGCTTTTTAATAAGAAACTCCTCCTCGTCCCATCATAATATTCATAAACTGATCCATCTTGATGAATATCATTTTCACTCATCACCTCATCATGATCAGAATCGTAGTCGAAGTCAACCTGTGGGGTTATGCAAGGTATGTTGAATCTCATGGAGGACGGGCGGTGCATCTTGACGTGGAAAACGGGGGTCTTGTCGAAGGAGAGTTCATATTCTCCATAATGTAGTTGGCCGCGAGTAGAATTGCGTCCCATGCTTTTAAGAAACTTAGGCACAACACGTACATCCAGCATAAAATGTCTCTTGAAAACAGCACCTTTTCTTGCCCACAACAATGCACGCAGGATGTTCCACGCTCTATGAGCAACATCATTAACGTTTTTCTTCGGCATTTTTCTAAATTGTTACAATAGCTTGCAACTAGTTCAGTAGCTTCAACAGAAGTAGAAGCTAGCACTGGAACTGGAAGTAGCAAAAAGTAGCTGAATTTTGTGTGAAAAGAAATTGAGAAGTTTGTTGGGTAGTGAAGATTTAAACACTAGAAAGAAATGTTTCAGTTTGATACCTTCTGTTGCCGAGGGAAAGGGGTGATGATGGCTTATATATATATATGTGTGTGTGTGGATTTTTGATACGCGGTGTTGTGCTGAAAGCGAGAGAGAGAAAGTTGCTTCCCTTTCTTTGGAAGCCAAATGAAGCTGGTGTGAATATTAATTGTGGGCAGTGGAGACTTGCAGGGAACACGGTTGTACGCGGGGTATTCAAGCTGGAGTTTTAGTAAATTCCAAAAGTAACCCTTGACATTATCCTAACATACAACCACCTTCGTCTGCCCTATTAGCTTTGGGAACTTGGAATTTAAAATATTGATCGAAAAATGGTTACATTTTCTTTCGTTTTTAGCAAATTGGGTGTTTGCAAGCTAATTTTCTCATATTATAATGAAGTTTTTTTGTGATATTTTCTAAAAAAAATTTTGTGAATATTATAAAAGAATAAAAAAATCAAGAAAAGCATTAAAAAAATATATCAATGTTAAAAATTAAGTTGGAAGTAAAATTTTAAAATATAATTTATATTATTTTTAATATATTTTTTAAATAAAATTTTTTTAAATTTAAAATTTACCTACATTATACTTAATTTTTATCTAAATAAATTGAAATAATGGCATTTAAACTTTAAAATTTATATTGTTTTTTAAAAAATTTATTTTGGTAAAAATATATGGTAAAGATGAAGCGGAAGATGATTGAATATTAAAGGGCCCCATGTAACATGGAATCAGCACATTTTCCGGCTGGGATGTTTTTGTCTTTCTTGTGAATTAAGAAAGGAAATCTCTCGCAAAAAGTTAACGACTTCGTATAAGTAAACGCTTGGCTTAATGTTTTTGTTTCGGAAGAGTAGCGTGGGAGCGAGCTGTTGATTTGTTTTTTTGAATGGGACCTGCCCTAACGCTGAACCGCGTTTTTTTGAGCTGTGCTAATCATTTGCTATCGCCTTCTGATGTCTTTATTATATTTATTAATCGACCATGGAATCTACGGTTTAAATGCCCTAGTATTATATTACACTTTTCATACCAAAAGACTTGTGGGGGTTGACGCCCATATAAACAGTTGATATATATATATATATAATTATTAAGTAAAAAATAATTTAAAAAACAAAATTCTTAAATCTAATCGATTCAAATATCATCATTTCAATATTAAAATAAAATACTCAATATATTTTTTTTAGTCTAAAAACTTTTTGGTCTCTTTACAGCACAGCGTGAGCGTAAAACTGTTTCTTATTGAGTGCATAGCAATAATGAGAATTTTTTATATTAAAAACAAATCTTGTAGTAATCAACCGGACTTCCAAGTTAACGATTTGAGCAGGTCAATGAAATTAAGAAACTACGCATGTGGAGAGAATATACGGTGCAAGAACTGACTTGGATGCCACTCAAATTCATGCTAGTCTCTTGCTTTGTGTGGGGCATTGAATGCGACTATCCGAGCCAATTTAGCTTATACAGTCTTATTTCATTCATTGATTGAAATACCAGATAATAATTCATGCTACTTAGACAACAGATCAGCAGTAACTTATTCTGGGTTAGTATCTGGCAATTTGAACTAAATACTGGTTAAATACTAATTAATGGGCGAGGCCCAGGGCTACACGAAGTGCATTTTTGGAAGGATCCTTGATCAAACTGTTGCATTAAACTATTTTCTGTTGTTGTTTTTCATATTAATTGTCCGGAAGCCCAAACATTAGCTGTTGAGATTCTGGCAACAAGACATCAACGCTGGTGTCCTGTTGGCTGTCGTTGAGGGCGCGTTTAATAGTTTAGAACTGCGTTTCGTATGGCTCCACGATAGGAGTAGCAGGTATCAGGCAACAGTATAATCTAGCTACCCGCAAGGGGTTTTATTTTTTTTATTTTTGGGTCGAAATGAAAGAACGAGCCACAAGGGAAGTTGGGTTTGAAATTTGCACTTCTTTGATAACAGCTATTACATTTCTGATAGCTGAAGCTGAACTGCTATATATCACATGGAAGCTGTATATTCACAGGGGCTCACGATAATCACCCAGTTGGACTGATAGAGAGAACAGGCTGGCTGGCTGCAACATGGTGGATGGACCATCGTTTCCTTCCTCACGGGTCATATGGACCCTACAAAAACTAACCCTGAACCTAAAAACAAAAGGAGATTAACTTGTAATTTGCAAAATAAGAGTGACACCTGTTTTATCGATGCGCACGCAATTCCCACAATACTACAGCTTGTGATGGTTCATGCAGCAAAAGAAGCAGACAACTAGCTAGGCATGTTGAGACGGAAGTCCAAGAAATCAAGCTTTCAGGTTCCAGCTTTTCTCTATGTGAAGAGAACGAACATCAAACATGCGCAAGTAAACAGCTTAATTAGTATCATAAGTGAAGCAACCCAGCTGGCAGCTAGCTCTCTTCTATTCCTAGACAAAATTATGCAAAGACCTGACATCGATATATATTAAGACTTTTGAATACAGAGTTAATTAATTAAAATAAGTACACTCTAACATGCTTGCTAAAACCCTTAACCCATCATTTAATATTTTCGGTATGTACAATTTTGACATCTTAGTTCACATGAAAACTCATCATAATATTTCTTAAAAATAATTTTTATAAATACATTGTACGAGTAATGATGAAAGTTTCAAATCCAACCAGAGAGATTTAAATCAGCTTATTATCAAAACTAGGACGATGAAACATTCACGTGAATATATACTTCAAATTATTGCGTTTTTGAATGAGATATTTTTTTTTATATGGTATCATAATTTTGATGATGGTTACCAAGACGTTTTAATTGGTGTCTTAGCAATTCAAACCTCATGCAAATTGGTTATGGCTTGCTCTAATTAATGACTACATGATTATGGACCGATGATAATGAGGCTAGCTAGCTAGCTGTACCAAATACTGCCACACAACGCACTTCGAGTGGCGTGGTGACCCGATCATCGACTTCCAATATTAGTAAGCGAAACCAACCATGAAAGGTGTTGCCATTACTGTCATCTCTTCAACGTGCTGTGCTGCATCTTTTATTAAACGGTCCCTTGCTTGTGTGCTAATTAAATCCTAGAAAGGGACTTCCCATGCACGTATACAACTGTTTCTTGCACATTAACAAGCGATCGAACCCATACCTTCAGATGGAAATCACACCGTATAATCAATCAATCAATCATATAAGATGCTAGCTAAGAGAAGCAGAGCCCAGGCAACGTTTATGAATAGCTTTCCCTGTTTCTTTCTTTTGTTTATTCGGTGAGAATTAATTAAACAAGACGGAAATGATCAAAACATGTACAGATATGGTAAAGCAGGGCTCATGGAAGATGAAGGTTTTTTTACTGTAAAAGCAGCTCCTTCAAAATAATTGCTGATGAATGTAACGACTGCCAACTGGTGCCACTCCAGAAATCAAGCCTTTTGATTGGCATTGGTTCTCTGCTGAGACTACGTGGTTTAAACGGAAAAACCAAATTGAATTGAAGATTTTCCTTTTTTTTTTCTCTGGTTTTTTTCAAAAATTTTTTCTCGAAAAAAGGAACCAAATTTCATTTGGTTATTTAGTTTCAGCTCAGTTTTTAGATTTCTGTGTTTGGTTCTAACCGAGAACTTATTATTTTGATAAATTAATTTACATATATAATACAATAATTTTAATAATATTAGTGTGTGTGTGTACATCTATGCGTGCTTATATATAATCTAACATTAAGAAATCATAAAACTATATACTACTCTATCAGTTCAAGCCTTTATTTATTTTTCATTGCTTTTATATATATAGATTGCTAAGTAAATTATATATCTGTGATATATAGGTTACATTACTCGACTTGGATGTTTAATACTATTTTGCAATTAATTGGGACTTTGAGATGATATTTATTACTTTTTTTTCAAAATAAATTCATGGAAAAAAGAATCTAAAAAAGGATCTTTTAACATATCAAATGAATATAGAATATCTAAACTAAATGAAAAAATGGTATTCGAAAACCTAAGAATAATAACATTATTTTTCATATTAAAAAAAATTCATTTTTAATTGGATTTTAAACATTAAAACTGAATAACATTTTTGATTTAGTTTTGATTTTTATAAGATTGATTATCAAAATCAAATAACCTCTACTGGTATAGTAAAAAACCAATTTTTAATTTTAATTTTAAGGGGTGTAATTAAAGCATTCAAATTTAAAATTTATTTTGTAGAAATTACCAGTTTGAATCGTATAAACTTTAAAATTATTTAAAAATTATATAAATATTAAATTTAGAATCCGTAGAATTAATCAAAATATGCAAGCTAGTTTAAATATTCACATTAATAATAATAAAAAATCAAATTTTTATGTTATCTTATATTTGTTCCTGCACGCACGTACAAGGTAGCCTTAATTTGAACTATAAGTAAAAATGATGATCCGCATGACATTCAATATACCAAACGAGGCACAAATCGTTGCTTCAAAATCACTTTATCCCAGTTATGTATATCAAGTAATCCCCTTCTAATTTTATGAGTTTAGTACAGAACATGGTCAGTAATTATATTCATACCCTGCATATGATATATATATATATAAAACTGATGATGTTATCACGACATTTATGTATGTAGGTCCAAGTATGAATTTGGGAATCATCGCCGGATTAATTATATAAAAGGTGGGTAACCATACCCAAAAATATAATAAGGGCTGCTCTGATTTTAAGGAACCATGTTTTAGGGCCACCAATTCACATAAAAGATACTAAATCTGTGTTTGTTGATTTGACTACATGAAAGGCAAATGGCCTTGCTTGTGGGGTATCAGAGATGGGGAAGACCAGTTCAACCAAGGAGAGAAACATCCGGTGGCAAACGTATGGGAGCCCGCTGGATTTGTTTGTTTTCTACAAATAGAATCCTCCCATTTTTATTTTATTTTATTTTATTTTTGCCTAAAATACTGCCTGCACGTCGCATCACACGTAAAGAAACGAAAAACCTTCCAAGTTTAGATCTTATGACCATTCTGCCTGCCAACTCATTTGAATCTTCTTCGCATCTTTCTGCTCAAACGAGTTGACTGAGTCACTGAGCGTGTTTGATATATTAAAACAAAAAATAAAGAGTCACTGATGGAGCGTTATTTCCATGTTCATTCCAAGTAGTAACTCTGTGTTTGTTTTGTTTTTGTATTTAAAAACTATTTTTAATTTTTATTTAATTTTTTTATTTTAGTTTATTTTAAATTAAAATATTTTTATAATTTTAAATCTTTTTGATGTGGTATATTAAAAATATTTTTTTTTAAAAAATACTATAATATTAAAAATAATTTTTTAAAAAAATACTATAAAAAAAATATTATTTCTACCACCTCACGCACTAACAAGTCAAGAGAAAAAAAAAATAATAATGATGCTAAAAACGTTACCTTGAATTCAAATTTCAATTATAAAATAGTAGTCCATCACATGCAAGTTATTTCACCCAAGAACTGCTATTTTGTTTTTTATATATATAGGACATCAACTGGCAAGCTGGTTAGTGGTAAGAATTTCTACCATGTATCATAATAATTTTCCTTTTCCCTCACCGCACATATCTGGTCAAAAACGCTGAATATGATTTATTTAAATTGATTAATGGGGGTGTTTAGAAGTTTGGTTGTAGTTATGGTTATGATTATTTTTTAAAGTATTTTTTATTTTTTAAAAATTATGTTTAATATTAGTGGATTAAAATAATCTGAAAAAAATAAAAAAAATATTTTTAAAAAATAAATTTAATAAAAAAAAATATTTTAAAAAATAAATTTGATTTTAAAAAAATAATTTTAAAACTTAAAAATAAACAAATCTAAGATCAGTCGATAGCAACAATCCTCCTTTAATGGAAAGTATGTGGACTAGCTTTCCTCGAAACGTAGTGGAGCTAAATCCATTCGTCGTAAAAGAGACTTGGCTAAGATAAGGAGGTAGAAACGTTCCTCTTGCCCTTCAATCGCGAAGTGTCTCGAGGAATATTACAGTAGTCACATATATAATATTCTACTACAATAAGATTTTTAGAGCATATGAAGGATCCAATATGCATGCATGTCATTGGTAAATACAAGAGATGATCGTAGAAATTAGGGAAATTGATATTTGTTTTCGCAACTAATTAATTTCAAAATCAAGTTAATATGTATACAAACCATCAAATCGTTTTTTGTTTTTTTTTTGCATATTAATTATACAATTCAAACAAGCATTACGAACATTACGCGTTTAACCTCCCTACATTCTTGGTTATATATATAGATGAGCTCTCCATGGTGCTTACTCCACATATAAATGTGTACCTTCCATATTTGTTTCTCCTTTCTCAAGGGTCATTTGTTCTCCCCCTGCTCTTTGCAGGGAAGAGCCCTTGATTAAGGCAGGTCAGGCTGTTCCTTTCCCTTTCCTCCGATTAATTAATGGAACATCGATCAGGTGCTGTCATTGATATTTTCAGTACTGTTACCGACAACGGAGGCCATCGAGATGGCGTCGACCCAAAGCCGAAGAAAAAGCGAAGTCCAATGCACATCCTTAGGGTGGCAAATTATATGCTCTCTCTAAAATCTGAAAAATCAAAAACTGCCAACACCGATACTGTCTCAAAGTGGAAGAAACTCTTGTCTTCCATGCGCCCTTTGCACATTAACAGCAACCAATCAGCCCAACGTAGCACTGGGGACAGGGTAACGATGGCACCTTTAACATCCAAGGAGGTTGTCGAACAATCAAAGGTTTATGCACCTTCCGCAGCATCCGAGGAAGTTGAACAATTTGAGCTTTTTACCCCACCTTGGTCACCGGCCCCAAAAAGCACGGGATCATCGTCTGGTCAAACTAGCCAATACGCATCGGCCCAAAATCTTCGAGAGCTTGATGATCAGAGCGATGAAGATGATGAGGATAGTTATTATGATGATAAATTCGGGGACGAAAAGATAGACATGAAGGCTGAGGAGTTCATTGCTAAATTTTATGGCCAAGTGAAGCTTCAACATAAGAGTTGAAGAGATGTCAGAGGTCATTAAAGTTGAATCTAGGTCTGTTTGTTTACATATATGCATGTTTCATCTAAGGCAAAGGGCCAAAAACAAGAATAGCATTGGGTTGGTTAACATTTGAAAAAATTTATCAGGTTTAATAAATCTTTCTATCGTATTTTTTTCAATCAATGAAGAGAAACAATATTGAGGAAATTAGCTATTTCATGATGAGCTGGGTGATGAAGATCTGGGATATAATAATAATAATAATATGAAGAAGAAGAAGAAGAGAGGATATTTATTTGTTTTTTGGCCCCCGTTATTCTGTAATTTGGGTACGTATACGTATATTATTAAGAAGACGGGAGGATATTTAACTGCTGTAATTTTGCTTGAAGTATAGGCATGAATCCAGATTTTTCCTTAATGAATAAACATAATATTGTTGTGAAGCAAAATTGTACAAGAACATAATTTCTTGTCTTGTACGCTTAATGTTCAATGTTTCCTTTTCTTCTTCTTCTTCTTATTCTTTTCAGTGTGACACATCAGAATTTAATTCTGAAAAAAATTCTTATGCATAAGAAGGTTTACGCCTGCAATTTCAGATGATGGAGCTGAAAATGCGTGCTGGAGTCCAGAGTTTTCTTAAATTAAGTTATTTCAACATACTGGGCAATGAGCTGGTAATAATAAGTAACATATTAGATTAAGTGTTTTTTTAATCTTTAAAGTTTATAAAAAATATATTTGAGTTCGAATTAAATTTTTATTTTGAGTTAATTTTGTTTTTTAGAACAATTTTTTGAAGTTATAAATAAGTTCATTATAATTTCTTAGTTTTTTTATATGTGTTTTAAATTAAAATGAGTTAAAAAAACAAGTTTTTAGATATGAAAAACTTTATTTTTAATTTTCTAGTTACCACATTAACTAAAATTTAAACAAATTAGATAATATATTATATAATTGTTTTTTCAAAAAACCTTGTTGTTTGCTCCATTTGCAAATAAAAAAAACTCAGTCGCATGAGTCTGCAAAGGCAAGTAAGCCCAACAATGTTTAGTCTTTATTTTTTTTTAAAAAAATTATATATTTAAATTTAAATATTTTTTATAATTTATTTATAATTTATTTTTATCTTTTGTATAAATAAATTTTATTTTTAAATATAGTTTTATTTTTTATTTTCAGATAATATATCGAATATGTATAGTCTTGTATGATTTTTTTCTCATTTTATTTTATTTATTTATTTTAATTTATGTTTTTATTTTTGTTATTGTTTGTTTGAATAAAAAATTATTTTAATAAATAAATACACAAAACACAATTGAGTAAATATCTTTTTTTAAATACACAAAACACAATTGAGTAAATACCTTTTTTTTCAAGATTAAATTTTTTAATTTATATTTGTTTTTTAATTTTTGATATAGTTAAGTTGTATACTTGGTTATTGATATATATATATATGAAAAATTAAATTTTCCAATTAAACTGCAGATATACGTTAAAAGAACCTTTATACCGGATCAAAAGTCGTCGTAAAAGGAAAAAACAAAATAATGACTCTTCGATAAACAGTGGACTCTCGATTCAGGGAATGGGGGTTAGGTACATTGGCTGTTTAATTATTGGCGCGCAAGACTGCAGAGAACTGGAGAAAAATGTTAGATTTTTTCACTCCTGGCCCGATTCTTGTTGGGGGGGTTCGGGCGAGGGGGTTCTCGGTGTCTTATTATTGGTTTTGATTGACGACCTCTTGATTTTAGAAGACTCACCAATCCTTAAGTGAATATTTGCGTTAATAAATGTTTTGATAAAAAAAAAAATTCGCAGAATTTGATTACAAAAAAGAAGCATATTGTTGAAAAGAAAAGGAAAGTCACTCTGCCTTCATTTTTAGGACAAGGATGTTTTTACAGAATGAAACAGGATAATCTCAAAAAAAAAAAAAACCAAAAAAATAAAGATTTAAAAAAAATCAAAGAAAAATAAATTCTTAAAAAATAAATACTATTGGAATGAATAATATTTTAGTATTTTTCTAAGATATATATAGTATTTTTCTAAGATATATAGAAATAGTGTTTTTATAAAACAAAATGTTAAAATAACATTTTATTTAGCACTCCAAGCATGTAAAATAAACTTTGAAAAGCCAAAATAATATTTTTTATTTTTATTTTTAGCTTTCCATTTAGCATCTCTGGAGATGCTCTAATGGTCGATTGTTTCCACAATTGTTTGTTCATCTATCCAACTGCAGTATCCGTATAATAGAGAAGGCAATGCAATCGTTCTTCTACATGTTTGGTTTTCCCTTGCTTCATGTTCTTTATATATATATATATATATATATATATAACCCCATACTTGAATAATTGGAACTAGAGAGAGCTGGAAGATTAAGAACAGATTGGATCATAGGAAGATTAAATTACTGCTATTTTTTTTTCTCACTCATCTTTTTGCTGAGCAAAAAGAACCCGTGTATTAATGAAGGACTGGTTGAGGAGCTTCGCAAGATTTCGTATTAATCTTTGATCGAAATTACAAATGAAAACGCAGAACAGTTGTGATCAACAAAAAGCAGCAATCTAAGCCATTGCATACATACAAAAAAAAGAAGAAGAAAATAGCAATCGAGTCTATTATCTATGAAAATTTCCCAACTTAAAGAATCCCGTAAATATTTGACCCACCAGAAACACCCAGAGAAAAACACCCAGAGATCCAGCATTTAAGGTTTAGAAAAAATCGATGCCAGTGCTTACCAATTTCCAGCAACAATGCTGCCCGCCACATCACAATCAGGAACCACTAGATATGACAGTGCATCCGACGTGTAAGAATCAGAACCGCCGGTAATTCCAACTAGTATCCATGTATGATCTTAGAGCACTTGTTCTTGATCCAGCAGATCCCTCTCCTCAAAGAAGCCTTGACTTTACCTTCCACCGTGTAAACCTTGTACTTGGCAATCCGTTTCTTTCTTTTCATTTCAGGATCAGTCAACCCCCCCCAGGGCTTTGACGAACTGCTCAGACTCCGCCGAGGCGGAATCGAAGCCACATTGGGTGAGTGTGGCCGAGTCGCGAAGATCTGGTTGCTATTGCCAAACCCAAAACCCTTCCCGCTCACAATCTCCAGCCTTCTGTCACCCTTTTGACCCGAACCGTACCCGTACCCGTCCATGTTCACTGATTGGAGAGCTTTGATTGCACAGAAAAGAAGAGCGATGGACGACAGCTAGGGTTTTTGTTTATACTTGGGGCAAGGAAACTGAAGATGTAAGATTAAAGTGGTAAATAACTGGAGTCACTGAATAGAATAGACTCTGATTCTAAAGCAGATGGAGCAGGGAGAACAGAACACCTCTATTTTATTGAGGTTTTTTGGCCCAATCTACAGCCTCTTTGGGTTGAAATATTCCCAACTTTCTTACTCATACATAAAGGAGAAAGAAAGGGAGGAGAATAATATGATAGAGAGATCAAATCATAAGTACGCTTTCCTTTAATTTTTCGATTCTTTAATCACTGTTGAGCTGTAAGGTTACGTTTTCGGGCAGTGGACTACCTCGGAACTGCCGATCTTTGATTGCAGGAAAGGTGAAGTCGCCAAACGTCGTGTCTTCCTCCTACTCCTTCCTCTGATTCTGATGCATATTATATTCTAGCGTAATTAAATTATTAGTTATTAACTTCAGTCCGAGAGAGAAATTGTCTGCCATGAAGACCAACTGGCCACAAGGCATCCAGATTCTACGGGAAAGCGGTTTTCCTTGCAACAATCTGAGCTTTTAAATAACTATAATAATAATAATTAATCACCATGGAGCAACATATGTTATTGGAAGAATCCTAGAGGCTGTTTGTCATTACATTTTTAACCTTTTTTTTATGCCTTTTAAAAATACATTTTACGTCAAAAAAAAATATCAAATTAATTTTTCCTTGTATTTTTTTATTGTTTTGATGTGAAAGATAAAAAAAATCTTCAAAACACTATTTAAATATATTTTAAAGTAATTTCTTTTTAAATAACATCATAAACTACAATATCAAACATGCATTTAATAGGCAGGTTGCATGGAAGGATTTAGGTGCTGGTAGCTCCAAGGATGAAAATTTTGCATGATCCACCTCTACTTCTCCTCTAAAATACAATAATATATTAGCTACTTGACTTGCATCTCATCTCTGATCAATTTTTTTTTACATAAAAAAATTATATATATATAAGCTTTTTAACATAATTTTTATTTACATAGGACACCCTAAGTGAAAATAAAAAAACTTATATATATTTCTAATCAAATAAATTAAAAATTATATGTATTAGTAGATAAAAAAAATTATTAGCAAATGAATTATTGAGAGGTAAATACAAACTAAAATATTGGATATTGCAATTCAAGCCTTTGATCCAAGTGTGTTTAATGACTTTATTCACTAGAATCAATTTTTTATTTAATCAAGTGATAATAAAAATAGATATACATGATATTAATTAAATAAAAAAATATTATAAAAAGTCAAACATATCAGAAATATTATTCAAAAAAATATATTTTATTTTTAAAAATAAATTTTATTTGTCAAGAATATATAAAAAATTATAGATAAATTAGAATAATCTCTTAAAATATTAAATGTATGTAAAATACCCAAGAAGTAGCCACTTTAAAAACAAATCAAATAAACAAAATAAAAGAGATAATATTAAAAAAAATACATTTTAAAAAAGTATTAATTAAAAATATTTATTTTTTAATTTTTTTTTAAAAGATCAAGCGTTACTGGGCTTGACCTTTTTATTAAGACGCCTCGTGCATGAGCTTTTTCTTCTTCTTCTTCTTGCTTTTTTTTAAGATAGGGCAACTGATATGTCACCTGCCACAATTGTTTTTGAAAAATATTAAGTTAGAAAACGCGTCGTCTGATATTACCTGGATTTCAATGATTGTGGTGACTAAAAAATCTAGAGAGAAATATTTTTTACCCCAAAATCTATTTTCAACCTATTTTGACTCAAAACACATAAAAAACATCTTAGGTAACTTGATAAACTTATTTATGGTCTAAAAATCTAAAAAATCATCCCAAAATCAAAAACCAAAAATCTTTCTAAGCTCAAATATATTTTTTCTAGGCAATTCTAAGGTAAAAAAAAACACATAATATGAACTCCCCTAATAAAATAGAACTATTTGATATCAATCTCTACTGTTTGGTGGACGAGCTCAATGCTAGTATAAATTATTTTTTCTCTAGCATTGATTTATGGCAACTTTCTCCCCCTCTACTCGAACAAGGGTTAAAAAATAAAAAAAATAAAGTTTGGATTCAAAATCAACTTGGAATCCAATATTTATAATTTAAAAAGTAGGCCTACAATAAAATTTTTATGGAACTTTGTTAAACCACTAATTCCTTCTATGTTTTGCACTTTGATCTCGTGGTTTTCAATCCCTCAATTTCCCAACAAATTGGCCAACAATTTGGTTTAATAAAGGCTAAAGTAGAAGGAAACAAAGAATAAAAAAATATACTGTAAATAACACATCCATAATATCTTGTGAATGGGTCATAGGTGCAAGTTCTATACTGAAATATCCATTGCTTTTAATTTTTTATACAAAAAAAGAAAAGAAAAACAAAAAATAAGAAAAACCAAATTAAAATCAAATCAGCATAAATAGATTCACACACGCCACATAACATGGTTGGTTGTGTTGTGAGGAATCGAAAAACATCCTAGATGGTTTTTTTTTTTTAGATTAACATGGGTGTCCGGGTCAGCTTGCGCGCACCACGACTAATCCCACGGGCCCTGAAGTTAACGACCATGTAAGCTTCCAGTGGCCATCATATGAACATCCAAGGACTCGAACCTGAGACCATAGAGGGAGCAAACCCCTTGATCCCAACTAGATGGTATTTTTTAACAGTCATAAAGCGTTGCATGAATACGACGGGGCACCTCACATAACTACGCATGACTAGCATGTTTCTATAAATTTTTTTTTTATCTATTGAAAGACCAAAATAACCCCCTCCTAAAGCTCAAATTAACAAAAAAAAAAAAAGTGTGAGAAGCCAAAAATATCCCCAAGAACATCGGAAAATACAGAAAATTATGTTCCAAAAATAATAAAAAACCCTAAAGCAAACGTTTAAAAAATTTAAGCAGAAAATTAATAATTACACTGTGAAAAGACATGACTGCTCTCTCATCACCCTGCACAAAAGATTTCCATCTTTCCCTTCCCTTTTTTTTTTTAACAAATTAAAAACCTCCAATTTAAATAAAAGAAATCCTTTAATTCATCAACAACCCACAAACACAGTCGCACCATAACCATCCATCGCCATGACAAAAAAAAAAAAAAAATCCAGCAATTCATAACACCAATGAAAAGGCAAAAAACTCTCTTTCGATCGCCTCTTCATCTCTTCCAACTATATATCATAATATAATCACTTAAAACAACGATATCAAGAAAGTCAGGTCACATGAAAAGAAAACAAGAGAATTTGAGAAAAGAATTCGCCGCTCCATTTTTTTTTTCAGGTGATGTAACGCAGATTTTGATTTATCAATTTATACTGTTGGGTTTTGAGTGGCTTGGCATGATTTGAATGGTACTCTTATCATGAATCTCACAACACCATATCAAACCTTATATTTCAAGGATTCTATCCCGAGTAGGAATTAGAGCTTTCTTTCTCGATTTAGATAGAAAGGGCCGATTTTGGAGTCGTCTACAAATACAAAGAACTAGCAATTTTGCTGAAGGCTGCGCAGCAACCCATGCATGCTTCGCCATAGGGCCATTGTGTTTATTTTGAGACGGAACTTTTTTAGGTGAAGAGCTTGTGAGTATGCAAGCTTGTAATTCTCTGTTCATGTTTGACCATTTATCCACGTTGTTCCGTTCTTTTATAGCTAGAGTTGGGTGGGATATTGTCCGTGATGATACAAAGAAAAAAAAAAGTGAAATTTTTTCAAAAAAAAAAACTTTTTCCTGCAATTTGGGTTAACCTAGATTGGAATGTGAAGTGCGTTCGTGAAAAATTTAAATATTTTTGTATAAAAAATTAATATTTTTTTATTTTTTAAATTATTTTAATATATTCATAAAAAATGAAAACATATTTTAATATATTTTAATATTTTTTTTTATTTTATTTTTTGAATTATTTTAATATATTCATAAAAAATAAAACATATTTTAATATTTTTTTTAAAAAAAACCAATTATAACTATACACACAAACAACATATTCAACTAAAGTTATATCTAAACCTACTTTTACTGGGGCTTATTTATTTTTGTGTTTTAAAGATATTTTTTAAAAAATTTAAATTTTTTTAATTTTTAATTAACTTTAAATTAATATATTTTTAGTGTTTTAAAATTATTTTGATATGCTAAAGCTAAAAATAATTTTTAAAAATAAAAAAAATTATTAATATGTATTTTGATAAAAAATCTATTTAAAAAAATAATCACAGCTATATTTTCAAATAAAGTTTCACACCATGCTATTTTAATAAAAAAATTATTTAAAAAAACAATCACAACTATATTTTCAAATAAGGTTTCACACCATACACTCTCTTTTATACTATCTTTTGCTGCACAAATTTTTCATAAAATTTTCTATGTATGCACACGGTTTTTTTTATATATTTTTTTACGAAGAGCATGTAATTATTCTACAAAAATAACATATCATTACCAATATTTTTTATTAAAAGTATACACGACACAGCACCCATAGCATTGTACATCAATCAAGAGCTATCATGACTAGTCAAACTGATCTTTTCACCAATAATACATGAAAACAATTTCAAGTTCTAAGTGCATAAATACGCCGATGAAAGCCAGCAAAGATCATGAGAGCAAGTGAGCAACCATTGAAAATCAAACTAGATACACACTTCCTAACCCTAATTCAACCATTACAGAGTTTCCTGTTTTTCATGGAACCTAACTTGTTTTATTTAGACCAGTCAAAATCATCAATCCAATCATAAAAACTCTAATTTCTTTTCAATTTGTAATTAAATTTACATATAAAATAAGAAATTTCATAGTCTAGTAATTATTGACGGTGTACATTATTAACTACTGAATCTATATATTATCACTGAATCTCTATTGTATAATTTTTTTTATTCGGAACATGTACATGAACACTAAATAAATTTTAAATTACACGTGTGCAATAGATCAGGCAAAGCAGCCTTGCAGCTTCTAGTGTTAGGCCACTGAGCACTAAAACTAACTTATAAAAGCATGTTTTTTTCTCTTTTAACTTTTAATATTTTTATTTTTACAATTTTTTAATCATGAACATCAGATCTATAAATTAATAATTATTAATTTTAAATTAATTTATGAAATATTTCACGTGTAATCAAGGATGTGTAGTTTTATTTTAAAAAATATTTATCAGCAAACTGATGAAAATTCAATATAAAAGATTGCTAAAAAATATATTAACGAATAAAAAAGAAGTGGGGCCTTAGCGCTGCGTCAGGCCTGTGTACATGGGCTAAGCCCCCTAGCCATTTAAAGGGAAGATTTAATAATTAAAAAAAAAAAAAAAAGCACACGTACAACTGCTCTCTCTCTCTCTCTCTCTCTCTCTGTACAGAGGAGTTCACTTTCAGAGCTGCATAAAAAAACATCAACAATGGATGGTTTAGTCTTGGACATTGAAGCGCTTGTTCTATATTTGTCCTTGTTGATTAGAAACGATGTCTTCGAGGAGAGATTTGACATTCCAAACTCCATTTCTTTCTACAACATATATCTTTAGAAAATTGAAATAATTCTGGTGGGTAATATCATAGTTTTTTCAAGGATGTTTTGAAAAAACAATAAGAGAAAAATAGAAATCCTCTTGTTCGATTTGAATAATTTCGGTGTTCAAACCGATAACGATATTAGAAACAGATCAAGTTCATCAAAGCAATTTCTGTATACCTTCTTAATGTAATCGTTCAAATCTATATCAAGACGTTGTTCTCTGACAGCAGCATTGAGTTACTAATTTTGCTTGCTCATAGGATCAGCAGCAAACGTAAACTACCTACCTTCCTTATTGATTTGTTACGATGGCAGCTATGCCAAAATGACACATGACATGCTTGATTAGGAGCAGCTAAAATGGAGCAAAATGGCACATGCATATATAGAGCTTTCGCATCAAGAAATTTTCGAGGTTTAAACTCATGAACTAAAATGGAGCAAAATGGCACATGCATATACAGAGCTTTCGCATCAAGAAATTTTGGAAGTTTAAACTCAAACATTAAAAATATTTCCATGGAAAGGCAAAATTTCACAACATGCACATACTGGCACTCGATCTGATCATCTAACCAGAGGGAGTGAGTTTGAGACAGAGATCAACCCCTACATCGTCATCATTGGAACATAATTTACCAGGAACTTTAATAAAAGATGGCATCGTATCTGCATCATGTAATGGTTGTGCGATATAAATTTGAGATGGTGAGTGATGATCAGGAGAAGATGAAGGAAACAACAAGGGCTGAGATGGGTAATCACTTGCTATTTGGGGCCTAAATTCAGCAGCAGCAGCGGTACTATTGCTAGTGATCAATCCCCTTGGATAAATGAAGGGTGGTGATTTGACAGCATGTGAGCAAAGAACTTGTGCAGCTGCCATGAGGCGTCGGTCACAAAGGTATTGGGTACGTCTGGCTCTTTGGCGCTCTCTTTTGTGAGCATTTTGATGGCCTCCTAGTGCTTGTGAGTTGCCAAAAGCTCGGTGGCAAAAATGGCACTCGAATTTCCTGTTTCCTAAAGTATTTTCTGTTTTTGATAGGATTTCATCTTGCTCAGTCAATGGAAAACCGAAAAGCTTTAGTTTTGATGTGGCCTTATGGTCAGATTCTTGAAACGGGGTTGAGCTCTCTGCCATGTGTGTTCAGAGGACTCGAATTTCATGTGCATATACGAGGGTATGTATGTTCCCTATTTATAGGGAAATAGTGATTCCAATTTTCGCAAATTAAACAACATTTTTTTATAAAAAATTATTGTTTATTTCATTTGTGTACACCCTGAAAGACTTAACTAGCAGAGAAAAAATGAAAGAATATTTACTTATTTTGTACAAATATTACATATATATTTGCGTGCAAATATCTACATGAAAGATGAATAATCATGATTTTATGGCTATGTCTACACGTTAATGTTTCGGGTATGAGATTTTTTAAAATAAATTAGGTAATAATATTTTTCTAAAAAAATCACTAATCTTTTTAAAAATACCTAGTCATAGAAACCTAAAGAGACTCAAAGATAAATAGTCACGGGGATTTATTGACAATCGTTTATGGAGACTATGTAGATTTTTTATAGAGATACATCTTGAGCCATGTAGATTGTTTGTCGACACATTTAAAGATATGAAGATTTTTAATAGAGATATGTTTTGAGATATGAATATGTTTTATAATGATATTTTTAGGACATAGAGATAGAGAAAAACTATTTTTTTAATTAAAAACTTAAAAGATGGAGATACAATACATGGGTTAATATAGGAATTATTTGATCTTGAATACCTCAATAATTATGCTAATTTATTTCATTTCTTCCTCTGGTTTTGTTTCTTTTATCATGAACTGTTACAAATACCCTATTATAATTAATGTTTCTGTATCCTCTTAGAGACATGAAGATATAAAGAAAAATTACTATTTTCTTATTAAAAACTCAAAAGATAGAAACACAATGCATGAGATAATTTGATCTTGGATAACCTATCAAGTATGCAGACTTCTTATATTTCTTGATTTAATTTTTTTTTTCTCTCACAAACTATTAGAGACAACATTTTGCAATCAATATTTATATATCTTTTTTCAAGACATGACATTCCTCAATGTCATGCCCATGATCATGGTGAAAAAGACAGAAATTGTTAGGGCTTCTCATGTTGGTGCCATTTTTCATGGGAGATGGATATTGTATAAGTTTTTTCATTTTGATAATAACTAACACCTTAGAATCTATGTGATGGTTAAAAATATAGTCACGAGCTTAGAGATTTTTAGGTGATCATAAATGTGCTCTTTGGCTTTCTTTTTGGATGCTCTTAGAAGAGACTAATGGTATCATGAAGACTCTGCTTGTAAGTGAAAACGAGGGTGCCATGTTTGTTACATTGATTTCTTCTACCCTGGTATAATTCTTCATTGTTTGTTTGATGCTTTGAAGATTTAGTCAATGAGAGTGTATAACATTCATCATAAGAAATAGTTGTAGACTTTATTAATTAAGATTTATATGGAAATAGGCTTGATGATTTTTTTCATGTTGAACACCTTTTTGTTGAACCTTTGGAAATAAGTCTTAATGCTCTCATCCTCTACTGTATGATGGTGAAAAGCTCTGCTGTAATTTTTCTAGTTGGAATTCTTGAACTAAAGTCGATCATGAGTTTAAAGTTAAGATTACAAAAGTAGAGAGTAGAGTCATGTTTTAGATTATGGTACCATGCTCATGCAAATTCATGAAATATTATTGAAATTTTTATGCACATAACATCAATCTCTTATATAATAAGTTTTATGGTACTTTTTATATTTTATATGTGTTCTTGAGTGTATGTAAGTCCTTTATAGTTATCCAAGCTAGATTTTACAAGGATTCTCCTACTCAGTAGGGGTTGTGTTCTTGCTCATGAATTCTAGAAGTTGTTGAGCTTGTCTCACACCTAAATCTTTTTTTTGCATGAGAAATTAATTATTCTCCTTTGACTTGGAGTTTATTCATCTATGGAAAGAGTAATGAAAGAGAATGAATTGTTTTTCGTTTTGTTTTGTTTCCTATAAATGACGTCAATAATAAAGTGAAGAAGAAATTAACACATAAATTAGAGTTTTCATGGTTTGTTAGCCAGACATGTGAGTTAAGTTTCAGGTTTGAACTTGAGCATTCCTAAAAAAGAAGTCTCTCATATAATGAAAAACTTTTTAATGCTTAAGTTAATAATGACATGAGAGAAACAATATATATATATATATATAAACCTTGAAAGTAAATGTAATACAAGAAAAAAATTAAGTCTTACGACATCAGATAAAGTCGAAAGAACATGTAAAGAATAGTTGGGTAAAGATTTGTGATATGAGAAGACTGTTTTTAACTAGGGATCTAAAATATTTGTAGACTTGGGTTACATCGGCTCACCTTGAATATAAAAAGTGATGTTATGATTGATTGATGAAAATATTGGTATTCAATTTTGATTGTAGTGTTTAACATTGTTATTGGTGAGATGATTGATGAAAATTAGTGATTTATTAAACAAAAATAGCTATTAATCAAGAAAAAGCTCTCATTATGCATGGAGAGTGGTGAACACGTGTATATTAATTAAGCTGAAATTCAATGGAAAACAATATTATGATTTTTTATTTTTTTATTTTTTTTTCAGCCAGACCAACTAAATAAATATGAAAGATTGTTCCTTGATTTTATACGATTTTATTCTAAGATTGTATTCAGGGTGAGGTTAGGATTAAAGATGAATTATTAAAAGAGTAGTCATTACTTTAGTAATTTTTAATGATGCGAAGTTTTTTTTTTAATCTAAATTTAAGCATATGTACCATGGTACATTTATTATTAAACTTATTCTTTTAAATCGTTTAATAGAACGCTATTTTCAAAACTTTTTTAACTGATTTTTTTAGTTTTAATGATAAAAGTACATTATTATGCCACTATTATATGATTTTATTTTTTCTCTCTCTTTTTTTAAGTATAAAGCACTTCTTTATATTATTTATCATTAAATCTTAATCTAAAGGAATCTAAAAACAATATAGTTCCTTTAATTCTATGATTGTAATTTTAAATTCATGAAGAATTTTATGATGATATAGTTATCTTCAGTATTATCTTCCAGCATAAGAACGCAACTGTGAAGAAGTCTATTCAAAAGATAACCATGTACAGGACCGTGTACAGGACCTTATCAATTTAGAAAGCTAATTCTGAGGCTTACATCATGTGTTATCGCCTGTTGCTATTAAAGACTGTTTTCAAGCTTAAAATCCACACTAAAAATCCATTTATGGACTTTTTTTTTATGTTTTGAATATGCATAATAATCTTGGATTGCTCCTGTGTAGGAATTAAGAATTTCTGGTTTTTTTTCCTTGTTTTTTGTATTTATATTATTAATTGCGAATTTATAGTCTATTTTATTTTATAGTTTACCCTTTATCTAGAGTCAATATTTATTTTGTTTGTAGGCTTTTGGCCTCTATTATTATATTATTCCAAAACATTTAAATTTGGAGTTTTTTTATATATATAGTTTACTGTGTTTTATTTTGTATAATCTTTGAATACTGAAAAACCTGATATCTTCGCTATATACAGTATCACAATCAACCATTCTTCAACTCACCGATTATTAAGGTTTTAACTAAATTTATTAAGAGTTTAATTTACGAAAAGTTTGTTTAAACATGTGGTAATTATTGAAAATAATTTTTATTTATAAATATATTAAAATAATAATTTTTTATATTTTTAAAAAATTAATTTTAAAATTAACATATTAAAATAATCTAAAATTATATAATAAAAAATTAATTCTAAATAAAAAAATAAAATTTTAAAAATCACGATTTTATTTCCAAAACATATTCTAAAATGAGACTCCACGTGACTGCCTCTTAAAAAATATGATTATAGTTGTTTTTTAAAATATTTTTTATTTAAAAATATATTAAAATATTTTTATTTTATTTTTAAAAAAATATTTTTGAAATTAATGCATATAAAAATTTAAAATATATAAAAAAATATTTTTAATAAAAAAATTTAAATTTTTTAAAAACAAGATTCCAAACGACGGCAGAGATATATATCTGCCGATTATAGGGGAGCCCTTTGAAACTTCACAGCATACCCTCGGCTGGCCACTCAGTCGTCGGAAGGTACTCCTCAGTATATAGTCATGGTTAAAAGAAATTTTTAACTGTAACTGAATTATTCTCGATCAATATTTTAATTTTTTTAAGTAATAAAATTTTTATACTATATTTTAAAAAGATTAAAAAATAAATTATTTCTTATTAATTTTATAATAACTAACCAAGAATGAGAGGAGCAAAACATCTAGTCAAAGATACAAGGATTCCATTTTTAAAGAGAATAAGGGGTGGTTTGGGATAGTTATGATAATTATTTTTTAAAATATTTTTTATTTATATATATATATTAAAATTCTTTTTAAAAAAACATTATTTTAATATTAACACATGAAAATAATTTAAAATAATAATTTAAAAAAATTCAAATTTTTTTAACATTCCGGTCGAAAAGAATCATATTCTATTTTTTTTATAAAAAAAAAAGCGAAAAATCATTTGTTGTCGTTTGCATGCTTAATCTTTATCAACAAGACGTGTTGGGACGCCATTACTCGCTAGCTCATCGACAAGAGAGGCTGTCGGCCACTACAACCCGCGCATGGCCGGGTAGGCTCGCTGCCGCTGTTGTTATCCTTCGTTTTTTTTTAAAAAAATATTTTTATTTAAAAATATATTAAAATAATATTTTTATTTTTTAAAATTATTCTTAATATTAGTATATTAATTTAAAAACATAAAAAAATATTAATTTAAAAAAATTAAAATTAAACTTAAAAAAATTAAAACATAAAAATAGTTGAAAGAGGGTTTGGATTTATCATAAGCCCTCCCGTAATCATGCTTTTGTTGACATTACGCTTTCTCAGAAAACCTCGTGGAGGGTTTGGATTTATCCAAGAATCGTAGCATACCTGATTTTTTTAATCCATTTTAGAGTTTTCCCTGCCTTTGGGCTTGATGGTGATATATAATTCTCTTAAATTAGTGGATAAGAAGACACTGTTTCATGGAGTTTTTCACAACTTACTTTTTT